ATTTTATTTCTTTTTTTACTGTCTACCTTCTGAAATTAGAAACTAAATCTCGTCTTGTTATTTGTTTCTTCTTAGTTTGCCTTTTTGTAATGAAAGAATTTCTTCTATAATATTTTTAGATTAAAAAATAATTTCTCAGACTTACCGTTCTTCTCACTTTACGAAACAAACGTCAGTTAGAAAGACATAAACAAACCTTCTGTGAAATGTCAAATAAAACGACATCGAATTCGAATTCGCTTTGATCTTTATCAAGTAAAATAATTTTAATGTAGGGAGAAAAATTACTTATTTCTCTTTTCTATTATTGATAACTATACACACACATAAACTCAGAAACTGACACTTACACAAATACATACATATATATATATATATATATATATATATATATATATATATATTACTCCATAATATAAATTGTCGGACTTTCATTTTACATATATATATATATATATATATATATATATATGTATATATATATATATATATTGTCAGCATATTTTCATTTAAGCATGTCTGATTGAAGACTTTAGATATGTTGTGAGCGTTTAGTTTTAATAAGATCCTTTCGTATATATCAATTTAAATGCTCTTTGGGAGATTGCATCTCCGACAAAAAATGCCTATGTATATGTTGGCCATTCTACAATAACGCTGTCAGCACGACTCACTCTACACATGAATGATTCATTCTTCATTGCATAACATCTGCAGGAATAAACGTGTCCACATTCACTATTTAAAAGTATATTAGTCGACAATACCCGTATACTTCACCAAGAACGTAATAAGCAAAACCTATAAATTCTCGAAGACAACTTTATTAAAAAAATTAAATCCAACTCTAATAAAATTAATTATGAATATAGTACAAGTGTCCTAAAAGGCTAATAGTAAATATTTCCTCGGAAATATGTAAATTAAATTTAAACATTAAAAAAAAAACGATAACCTACCACAAGAATTTAATTCAAATAATTTACCTGCCTTACATGATAACCTTTACAAAGGGGAAGAATTTAAAAAGATACTGTGACTGCCGCATGATTGGAATCATTATCCGTTTAACCACAAAGACACACAACTATTTGTAGTAGCCATCAAAACCGGGAAGATGATATTGTGAATATATCGAAAGTAGTCGAAAAGTAAAATGAATATATACAACCATGGTACCTTCCTCGTTCTCTTTAATCACGAAACAACAAAGCTTATACGTGATTTCGAAAGGAGCCAACATAGCTAAATTGTTTAATCAGACATGCTTATGTGTGCGTGTGTTCGTGTGTCTGTGTGTGTTTGCGTTTGTGTGTGTGGAGGGTAGGCCAATGAAAGAAATTCGACAAAGAATGAACAATAATAATAATATAAATTATCATTATTATTATTATTATTATTTTGAATGTATCATGGTCCTGTTGTTATGTTGATGGCTTGAGCAAGAGGGAAGGTACTGTTCGTCAATTCCTAACATGGACCTCAGACAGTACTTTTAGAGGTACGCAGATTTTTGTATCGTTCGCAAATTGTATTTTAAACCAAATTGATCGAAATATTCTTTAAACATATATGGCGTGGACCCAAGTGCTCCAATCACTACTGGAATGAATCTTCTTCAACATTTTCTACGACATGGTAATATAAACCTTCAGTTCTATGGGTAGTGAGCAGCTTATGACGACATCAATTATTTGACCTTCATTTTCAATTGTGATGAGGAAGACTATATCTGTTCTTCCAATCTGTTACTAACCCAATCTGTTTGAAAGTAAAAATCCAAGACAATCTTTGAGTTGTCTTATACATCCATTACTCTCAATTCTAGGTGATCGTACTATTTCTCGGAGACGTTGTAACCATATTATGACGTCTTTTGAACTATCTTCTCCTCTCTCTTTTTGTGACAGCATTTTACAGACATTGTGTAATATTCTATTAATAATAATAATAATAATAATAATAATAATAAGGCAAGCGATAAAATATATGCATGACGAGAAAAAAGATCCGATTCATTTATGGAAGCGTATGTATGCTTTTCTCAACGAAAATTAAAAATTAAAATATATATATATATATATATATATATATATATATATATATATACCTGAATGTAATGCGAACGAAAATAATATATAAATTCTAACCTTTAAAACATTAATTCAAAAGAGCAATAATTATTTATTATAATTTTTTATATAGACAAAAATAATTTACTACAAAGATGCAACTCCGATTCAGTGCATTTAATTGCACTTCGACTCGTGGGAACAAAAATTGTTATGAATAATTCTGTTTGTAAGCAAGTCGCATGTGACACTTCACTTAAAAAAAAATAGTACATAAAGGCAAAAGGGTGAAAAGAGTGAAACAATAGTTATCCTTCACCAAAATGCTATCAAGAAGCACTATTTTTATATGGGTAAATAGATATGCATATATATATATGCATATATATATATATATATATATATATATATATATATATAAGTCAACATAGAGGCGACAGTCTGTTTCATGCTATGCAATCGTCAGACCTGACGATTGCATATATAGCATGAAACAGACTGTCGCCCTAAGTGTTGACTTCTATGTTCATTTTTATATTTACACACGCTCTATCTCTGATATTGAGCACTTTATTCCATAAATATAGCACGCCTTAAGACTATATTTTTTATATATATATATATATATATATATATATATATATATATATATATATATATATATATATATCTAAGAGTAAATAGCAAGACAAACTGGTCTAGAGAAGAACAACTCTGAATTCAAAACCTGCGGAAGGTTGTTTGGGGACATGTTGATCCCTTTAAATTAGTCTATCATCTCTTTTATATTACAGCGTATCATTTATAAAGCGTTTTCGTTTTAATTGGAAAAACGTGTAAAGATGGCATTTTGGTTCCTCATGAGCTTCTGCTTGAGGAACCAACAAAACGTTCCACCGTCTGCAGCAGTATTTAACCAGGAATACTAACCTTTCATTTTTGCCTTGCATTTTTACAGGCGATGAAAAATGGGTTTTGCATTTTCAGTATCAACGCAGACGAAAGACATTATCACAAAATGAGAAACCAATACCAATACAAACACAAAAACAGTACTCCATCTTCAGAAGTCATTTCTTAGTGTTTGGTTGAATATGAAATGTGTTGTCTATTGCGAGCTGCTGGAAGATGGTAGGACTAATACTAAACAGGTTTATTGTCAACAATTTGGTTAAGTTAAGGACCTGAAAATATTTGTAACTGAGACCCAACTTTTAACATGACATAACCCCATATCGTGCACTCGTAGCTGCGATGCAGGTAGCATGTATATTCTCATTAGACAGGAGATAATGATTGGGCTTCGTGCTTTCACAACGTCACCTTTTTTTTCGTGATGCTTATTCTATAAGTTGTCGGCTCGACTAAGAAGTGGTTCTTCCAAAATTTCTACTATTTATTATTTTGGTTATTTAAAGTGTGTCGAGCTTAGAACATTTCAGCACCCACTCTTATCTGCTGTATATATATATATATATATATATATATATATATATATATTCTGATTTATCGTTTCTATTATATGCGCTAGTTTTTGATTTGTGCAATAAGCGTTCATAGCCACCCTACAGTTCTCGCAAAGACAAGTGCTATATGATCGTCCATTTTAACAATTTTTGCTTCTTGTTGTTCGGTAGAATTACATACAGTTTAGAAGATCTTATGTCTATTTTTCGTTGTTGACTAATCTTTGCTCCGTTTGACACAAAGCAAAAGATTGCTGACGAATTCTGCTGTTCCTAAGTGGTCATCCATCTAAGTACTGATCAGAATCGACATTGTTGCTGACATTGATGCTGACTTGGGTGGTCAAATTGAGAATTGGATCCTTCGTATTTTTTTCATCCAAGTAAAAGATTTGTTCGCAGTGAAAACACCCGAAATAGCTTGTTTATGCAGAAAAAAAAAACAAAAAAAAAAACTTACCCGCATTTCCATATCGTGCAAACACACACATGCACGCACACCCAAACACGCACAAACAAACAATGTTCTTGAGTATAACGATAAACTACGTCCGGCAGCAAGGCCACTGACTGCGAGTTTGGATGTTTGTAGAAGCGTGGAACCACCTCTTAACTGCTACTGTTTCCAGATCCACCCTGACTCGCGGTGGTAGCAACTGTTGGGTTCCCAGCTATGAGCAAATAAAAAACCCACAAACAAAAAACACTATGAAAGTATAAAAATACATATTTATAATAAATTGACCAACAATACATTTGCGTCCAAAATATTTAGATTTTGGCCTTAAATAACCATAGCTGTTGATATGCTGCTAAACAAAGTCAACCAAACAACCAACATAAACGAAATTTCTTGCCATTAATCCATATATCCTACAAAATATAACTTCAACAAAACTACAACATAAAACACACATACCGCCTCTAGTAATTACGTCTACACCAACGTATATGCCCAAAAGCTGAGTATTATCTACCATGTATTCAACTGTGAAAGCAGTATAACATATATCATATATTTGTTGCTTCAAAGCTCCAAAGTAAATTAAACTTCGGCATTAAATGACCCATAAGGAGTAGATGTGCCATTAAACAAACAAATCAATCAATCAAACAAACATATCTAAGCATGTTAAAAAGAAACAAACTATTTAAATTAATCAAACACACTACTAAGCAATACAATGGAAAACTAATTAATTCCTTTTTTACGGTTTATCAACCCTTTGGATGTTATTTAAAGCCATAAAATATTTTTAGATTTTAAGACTTTTTAAATAATTGCTTAGTGATACAAGTCTTGCTAAACAATCCATAGGGGTGGGGAGAAGAGGCGGATTTATAACTTTTCAAAGGATACTTTGAGCTTAAATGAATACAAAGACTTCGACTACAATTGGAACTTGGCTCTCCGATTTCCAAATACGAGCCATTATCCATTACACCACGCACACATCCAAACTTACAGCACCTTATATTCCCAAGCGATCACCGATCTAGGTACTGACCGGGATCGACGTTGATCAACTTCGGTGATCGTACGAGAACCAGTGTTTCAACGTGATAACTGAACCCTTGTGACAGACAGCTCATATCTTAGTGACTTAATGTGGGATATTATTTGCGTAATGGACGAATAGTAAGATCGTTACGCCAGGGTTCGTATCTCACCATAGTTGGTTAGAATCTAGCCGCACTTGGTTAGCAAACTGATCTTGCTAGAGTAGTACTATCCTCAGTGAATGCTTCATATTTGCGGCCTTGTGTCACATCCGGTTCCGGTCAGTATTTCCACTTCATAAGGGCCTACGATCATTATTCGGTATCTCAGGCATCCTTAAAAGGGGAAGTGACGTGAGGTGACCAATTTTTGAACGGTTTTCCAAAAATCCCACATTAAGCTTCAGTTTTGTGTCACATTCAGTTGTGACGGGTGGGGGGCTGATAAATACATACTTAGGCAAGCGCATTCAAACACTGAATGAAAGAACTTTAAAGAGACATTTTTAAAAAACTATTACTCTGTTTATTCGAAAAATAAATAAGTATGAAAATCAAATTATGAGGACGAAATAAATAAAGACGATTAGTTAAAATATGATTATTACAGAATATCGCAGCTGTTAGAACAAAAGTGTTCACTTTAAATTCTAGTCGATTTGATTGAAATGACATCTGCTTTAACGCTTGTTCGACAGATGTTTTACGTTTTGTTTCAATTTTCATGAGAAACAAATTTAGCAAAATTAATGGAGAAAAACATAATTTCCACTTACCACAGAACGATATATGGCACTTACATACAAGTTCAGTTTAGTATGGTACAAGGTTAGATCAAGTGGAGAAAAATGAAGATAAGAAAATTTGGTGCCAAACAATCTTGTCGACTTTTAAAATCGAGTTTTGAAATTCTAGATTTTGACTAAATTCGAACTTACCTCAGGAGCCGGTAAAAATGACTACGCAACAACCTCATTACCAAAACGATGCCTTTTTATTAGTTTGAAACAATACTAAAATTGAAAGGCAGTTAGTGATGAAATCGTACTGAAATGGTCTCCAAGACTAACCATCACTCACATCCAACACTTTTTATTTTTTAAGCTTAAATTATATTATTATTATTATTATTGGGCGTCGTGTGAAGCTCTAACATCATACAATCACGAACTGGTATTCAAGACGAGGCAGCTAACTATTTTTTAAATTGCTGGCTCATGTCAAAAACGACTGTTGTTAACTGGGGAAAAGAACGGCTTGTTAATTTTAACGCTTCCAAAACAAAACTGCTATTAATTGTCTGAGATACACCATTCGGCCTTCTATCAGTATGGCTGATGCTAATCTCTAGGGGAGTAACTTGTTGTGCCTGCTCTGGTTAACATTCTCTGCTAACATGAAGTGGAAAGACTATATTGAATCCATTGCTAGGTCTGTTGCTAAGAAAGTTGGTTCAGTGTGTCGCGCGAGACAGTTTTTCTCTCAAAAGTCTACCATACATAGGGCCGTATGCGGTTCGGTGCCCCTGATACATGTACAATGGGGGCAAACAAATATTCTTACTCATATAGATTTTTAACTTACTGTATTTCTAACTAATGAATAAACATACTTTTTCATATAAGTAACTCTACATAGATGCATAAAAAAACAGAAAAAAATTGATTTAATAGAAATAAATCCCATTTATCTATTTTAATGGGTAAAAAAAGTATTCGTACAATGAAAATTTCAGATTTTAAAACATTTCAATTGATTTATTCTCTAGATTATTAAAGTGGAATGTTCAATTGATTTAATAGAAATAAATCCCATTTATCTATTTTAATGGGTAAAAAAAGTATTCGTACAATGAAAATTTCAGGTTTTAAAACATTTCAATTGATTTATTCTCTAGATTATTAAAGTGGAATGTTCAATTGATTTAATAGAAATAAATCCCATTTATCTATTTTAATGGGTAAAAAAAGTATTCGTACAATGAAAATTTCAGGTTTTAAAACATTTCAATTGATTTATTCTCTAGATTATTAAAGTGGAATGTTCAATTGATTTAATAGAAATAAATCCCATTTATCTATTTTAATGGGTAAAAAAAGTATTCGTACAATGAAAATTTCAGATTTTAAAACATTTCAATTGATTTATTCTCTAGATTATTAAAGTGGAATATTCAAGAATGTTCCAATAATGTTACCTGTAGTTATATTTAGTTAAAAATTACAGACAGAACATTCTGTAATTGATATTCATGCAAGAAGGTTATCATCATGACAAGAGGTAAAGAATTGACAAATTCGCAAAAAGATCTGATTGTTAAGCTCTGTAAAGAAAGTTAGTTACAGGAAAATCTCAAACAACTTGAATATTCCATTTGCTACCATTAGTTTATTTATTGCAAGATATAAAAATACTCAAAACTGTTGAAAACCAAAGAACAGGTGTTCCACCGTAGATTTCTTCAAGATCTCCGAGGAAATTAATGCGTCAAATTCAACAAAATCCTATGGTTACTCGGTAAGAGTTGCAGGATGATTTGCTTTCATCAGGAATCTGTGCCATTAAAATCGATAAATAGAATGTATTTCTATTAAATCATTTTTTATGTTTTCTCTATATATTTCGTTATTATGCATTTGTACAGTTAATTATATGAAAAATATGTTTATTCATTATTTTGTATGTGTACGAATATCCCCCCCCTACTGTATTTTGAGATTCTTGAAAAATCCAAAGAAGAATGAGAAATACTATTAGTCCTGATCTGGCGTCTCGGCTTCAGTTACTCTGCCACCGCCGTAAAGTTGCTTTCCCCTGTGCCTTTTCCTATAAATACATTCATGTTAATTGTTCGGATGAGTACTTTGCTATAGTACCAAGGTTTTATGAATTTAAGATTAACAACAAGGCCTCATTAATTTACAATTCAAATGCTTAGATGTAACTGTAAATTCTATGGTAACAGTTTCTTTTCTCACACTTCTCGCTTGTGAAAATCTCTTCTGACTTCTTGCTTTCCAGTTAACTTTGAACTTCAAAAAATGATATGCAATGTCAATCGTTATCTTCCTGTTTACTCTTCTATTGCCCTCGCTCGTTACTAATGTTTCTGCTTTCTAATTCTTTTACACGCAGTAATCTGCCTTGCTTGGGGTAAATCCGATTAAAAACAATATTTTCCTCATTAATTCCTCGGGGTTTTGTATTCAAAGTTGATTTCCTAGATTGGTTTCTCTATCAATGTTAAAAAGACCTAGTTTACTGTACTTTTTTATCCATAGCTTGTGAAAAGTGCATTGATGTCTTTCAAAGTAAACGAAACAGGCTCAGGCTCCGCCCCGCTAACTGTTAGCCACATGTACATCTGAGCTAATTATTTTCCCACGTTAAACGCTTTTAACTGTTATCTATACAAATTTGTATGCCAGTCTTACAGAATCGGAGATCTTTTCTCAAATGTCTAGTTTTATTCTTTCAAATTATTGTTGTTTACATACCCATCAACTATGAATCCACTAATTACTTTATAAATAAGAATGAATTTTGAAAAAGCTGACATGGTATTTACGCATTTTGAACGCCATGAAATTTCAGATAAATGGTTACAAAATTTAAATCAATAGTTGCAGACACAAAATTCATTAATTCAGTTTCTCTGAACAAACTTAAAGCAGTTTTTCTTCCAAGTGCGAAATATTCTTAGAATTATTTTTCATTGGGGCGAACTTTATAATGCGCTGAATGTTACCGAAATGATATCAAGTATATTATTTATTCGGTCAATCTAACTCGGACATTTATAAGTCTATCATGCCAATTATCGCAATTCTGCATCAATGTCGGAAGGTCATTAGTGTGTCATAATATAGCAGGTCCATGTAGGTGGTTGTTTGGCGACCAGCCCGTCTTGCGCTATGGCTTGATGCCCGGGGCAGTAGATCATTCGCAAGTTCTTGTTTTCCTCACTAGCAATGTCCTGCAAAGCATATTCTGCGTTCACTTAAGATTGTAGAGATATCAGGGATAGATCCATAGAGCTGTCATTGAGTTGGATGTTGTCTCCAAGAGATATTAAGTATATCCCTCAGCATCCGAGTGTAGGTTCCATCAAGCTTAGACGCTAGGGTTTTAATTAATGCCCGGCCAGTGGCACCATACATTAAAAGAGACTCTACAACGGCGCGAAAGAATCTTCGTTTGCAATTGTCTGCTAGAACAGATTTACATCCATTATATTGAAGACGACCCAGGCTTTAAATGCGAATTTTCACATCTTTTTCAGAATAATTTATTTTGCTTCCTAGGTATGTAAGAGATTCGAACAATTTTATTGTTTCACCTGAGGCAGGTTGCATTGAGCCGTGCGGGTTGAAACTTAAACATAAACCCTTGTTGTGACTGAATCAATATACTTAAGGAAAGGTCACACAAGAACTCTGGTAAATTGAATTTAAATAAGACTATATGTCAACTCGAGAATGGCATGGGTGGAACATATGAACAAGGAAGATTTACGGGAAATGACAATGAAAGAATACTTGCGTTATAGATAGTTTAAATGTTGGAGACACATAACACAGAAAGAGGGTTTGGAGAATTTAACTCACAGAACATACTGAAAGCAAAATGGACAAAGTAAAACAGAGAGTAACCTGGATGGAAGAAGAGGGACGTTGGGCGAACCTAAGCAGTCCAGCTCATGTTTAGAGATACGAATGATAGAAAGTTGTGGAGAGCTATGACTGCACTCATCCAGAAGGGCATGGCACATAGAAGTGAACAAGCTGTTTTATCTATCCTACTGATTTGCTCGAAATCGTTTCAAACAGAAAAGAAACAGCTTGTCAAAATTAAGATTTAATTTAATGTATGTAAATTTTACCCTTTTAGACTGTCTTTTAAAAAATGCAGTTCTAATCTAGTTGAACACTGTGCATTTCTAGTATTAATTAATTCTGTAAAAGTTATTACAGTTTGAAAAACCATTAATCGAAATTCTTGGAACCGGAAGATTTTTTCGGATTTTAGAATACAGGTTATTTAATTTCTATGTAGCATGG